AAACACTGGTTGGATGGGAGAGACCCCCCACCTTTAGCCTCCAACTGTGGTAAATCACTCAGGAGACCAATGCCTAGATCCACACCTAGTTCTTAGAGCCCATTAGCTGGGCTCCTGTCAGTTCCCATTATGTAGAGTATGGATTTGGAAGCAACTGGAGGAAAACATGTCAAACCAGACACTCCTGGTCTGCAGATGGGCCGGGCTGGGAGCAGACAGCATGAACTATGCAGTGTTCTTGCTGAAAGTGTTTAGCCTGAATTACTCACGAGGCACTTCTCAGAGAACTACAGAATTTTGACCTGCGAATAAGACAGCTGGCCTGTTTTTCTTCACAGTCAATATCACCACAAATAAGATGACAGAAAGGAGAAGAAATATTTTGGGTTTCAAAGGATTAGAAAGATTGTGTCCCTCTATTTCTTTGGTCCTTTGAAACCAAAAACACCTGCTCACCTTTTTATGCTTGTCTTTGATCCTGGTGACATCTGCTTCTCTGTGGAGGAAAGGTCAGTTGTCTGTTTCAATGGTCTATATCCTCCCCAGCCATAACGGCCATTTATATATATTTAAATTTTATCCAAAAGATGAAATGTTCTACTTTTAGGTAATTTTATGTCTTTTTTGAATTAAGAGAAACGAAGTAGAAGTTATGCCTGGGTTTAGGATATCCTTCCCAATAAAGAGAAGATGACATAGTTTACAGGTCAGATTTAAAGGAAATCTGTTAACCCTTACACATTGTTAAAGGTTATCATTGTCCACATCACCCAGAATCTGCTGGAACAGTGGAACGTCAAAATGAAATACCGTAAAATAAACAGGCCCATGACATTTATGAATATAAAAGATATAGCTAGAGGAAGACTTACTGTAACCCATTCCACACAGCAGCCAAGGTGAGCTTTCAAAACCAGGAATCAGATTGTGTGGTTTCTAATCACATTCAGAATAAACTCCAGATTCACAAGTCTTAGGACAAGTAGCCTGCCTGCTTCTCTGACCCCACCTTGCAGCAGCCCCATGTTCTTTCTACTATATTAGGTTGTGATGCCAGAAGGCAGCATATGCTTAGGCACATTTCAGATGAGCCAAAATCAGGTCTATGACCCACTATCCATAATCAAACCCCCTTAATATTATCAAGGAAGGTGTAGCAGATGCTTGTAAGGAAAACTAGCCTCACACACAAATCCCCAAGTACAAATAAACAAGTAAATTCCATTCCGGAAAGAACCAAGGATGTCCCAGTGGACTCTTTAAGATGTGGGTCTCTCTGGGACTATAAATACATAACAAAACTCTGCACCAGCACTATTTTATATATTACTAACTTACCCACTGGAAACTCCTCTGAGATTACAAATGCCTGTGTCCATGTTATCATTCCTTTTCTGTGAGGTTTATTCCAAAAACCCTCAGACTTACTTGGAAGCTTGTATTACAGTGGCCACTTAGCTATATGATGCTAGAAACAAATAATAACTAACTGTACACGCAGAGCAGCTGCCAGTTACACTAGCCCTGAGGCATTCTCAAAGCACATCCCCTCCTGAGAGGTTGGTTAATTTCTTCAGAGCCATGCAGAGTCTCCAGTCTGGTTTACATACACCTCCCCTCCCCATACTGGCCATAGCTAACCGGACTGCTGGTGGACGTCTGACCAGAGGGCAGCATTAATAGGCTGGTGATGCCCCATGGAGATGGCCTGGGATAAACACTGTGTTCCCCTATAGCCTGCTTGCTTCTTACAACACGATGCTCTGTCATTGCTTCCTCAGACCTATTCTTTTAAGTCCTGGTCTGCAAGGCTCTGCCAGAGTACTGAGCTGGGTCCCCAATTCAGTAAATGACGTACCTGCCATACACTCACTCAGGACAAAAATCTGGAAGGGTTTAAAAAAAAATAGAACTTCTTATTATGGATATTTTCAACCACTGCCAAAAACAGGCAGTGGTGCCTATTATTCAGCTTTACACAGTGTCAGCATCTTATCAATTATGTTTGATCTATTCCACACTATACCCCAGATCAAAGAAGTTAATTCCTGATCTTTTCCTTTTCCCCCCTCATCCCTCCCAACCAACTCATAGAATAGTCTTAACATTAACACTAAGACTTGTCCTACACCCATCAATTTCTCATTTCACTAATACCACCTTCATGCAGGCCACCATCATTTCTCAACTAAATTACTACAATGGACTTCTAATCGGTCTCCCTGCTTCGACTTTTGCTCCCTATTTCATTCTAGTGCAAACAGCAGCCAAGATGAACTTTTTAAAGAAATCAGATAAGTGTGATTTCCTGTCGCTTTTAGAATAAACTCCCAATTCACAAAGCCCTACATCAGGCCTGCTTGCTTCTCGAAGTGCAGCTTGCAGCCATCTCAGTCCTGCCGAGGGCCTCTTCATGTTCCGTCAGACTCCAAGCCCCTTCCTGCCCCGCGCCTCGGCATGAGCTACTGCCCTGGCCTGAAATGCTCGTGGCCAGAGCTTCACCTCATTGACTCCCTGTTGTTTTCCAGGCCTCAGCTTAAATGTCACATCCCCTAGAAAGCCTTCCCAGACCACCCAGTCAACAGGACTCACTGTTCGCTTGCTATCACACCAGCAGCTGAATTCTCTGTGCAACTACTCTCACCATTTGATACTTCCATTTTTATTTCTTAAAAAATCTCTCTCTCCCGATTAGAGAGCAAGCTGCTGGGAACAGGGATGATAAGACCTTTCCAGTATATATGCTCATTCTTTTTCCTTATTAAAAAAAATCCTGATTTTGCTCAGGTATCCACTCCTTCGCTGTGCAGCCCTGGGCCTCAGGAGAGGCTGACCCCTTTATCCCCCAACTCTAGGCAATGGTATGACTGACCAATGAGAATCTCTTATCCCTGGCCAGTGACTAGCTCAGAACTGAGTATTCAGAGCAAGTCTGGCCAAGAAGACCTGAGACAGGGCCTTTAGAGGCTTCTGAGAAAGCTGCTCCCTCTCCAGAAAGGGTCATGGAAAGCCACAGCCCTTTTTCTCCCTCTGGTCATGAATGAAGAAACATTTCTCCAAATCACACCTGTGGGAGGAATAAGGATAAGCAACACTGTCTGAGCAGAGTCTACAGAAGGAAAGAAGGTGAGTCCTTGATGACACGGTTGAATCAGCCTGACCAGCCAACCCGGGAGTCCACACTCCCCCCTGCTTCCTTCTATGGTGGAATGAATCTCCTTGTCATTTAAGCCAAGTTAGGTTCAAGTTTTCTATTACTTATGTGAAAATACACTAACATTTGCAGAGACTTTGTCTACCGTGCTCATTGCTATGTTCCCAACACCTAGAAAAATGCCTGCAAGTGGTGGGCACTTAACAAACATATGCTGAGTGCATAGGTGAAAGAGTCTAAAAGAAAAATAGTAAAGGAGAAAGAATCATAAAACAGCCGTTCTCCATTCAGCCCACTAAGCTATACGGTCATTAAGTCCTTCAGAATAGCTGTCTACTTAGGTTGAATTAAGCACAAAAACCTTCTTGACAAATATTTCAAAATGTCAGCCTAACACTGAAGTATGTCCCCATCATTACGAAAGGCAAACGCCACTACCAAAGAGCACACATGCATTCATAAAGCCTTACAGGTTCTTGGGATTCAGTTTCTTCCCATTCTCCCCATCCATCATCTTCCAGTCTGTTGATATACCTATTTTAAAAAGGAAGAAAAATATTAACATAAAATACGGAGCTTAAAATATTTTAAAAACATTTTGTCTAAACATATTAGAACCAACGACTGATACACAATAAATATTATCTAAGTGTGTGTTATATAAATATATTACTGATATTATGGAAGAAAACCACGATTACTATAATCGGGATTTTGCTGTATGTAATAAAAATAGGGAAACATTTGACCCGAATTTCCAAGTCTATGTAAAACTGTGCACTTTCTCTGCTTCCTCTCTTGCTTCCACACTGTGGCCAAAGCACGCAATTGGTATTAAAAAACCATTGAGTACATTAAGGTACAAGTCTGACCAGGAAATTTTGCTGCTTCAAGTGTTTCCGAGGCATCCCACTATTTTCGCCAGGCTTCTCATGACTGGACTTAGTACCTTTACAACCTCGGCCCCCTTCACTCCTTCCCTCACACCCTCCTCAGAACCTATTCAGCTTTTCTTACTTCTCTGTCTTGCCTCCCTACCTCTCCCTTATTCTACTACTACTTCAAAGGCAGGCGTACGCACCCCTGCTTCAAAGAAGTGTCCCCTAGTGCCATTAGATACATCTCTCTCAGTCCCACCCTACGGCAGCTGTTATTTGTCCTATTAAAACTATGAGGTCCTAGAGGGCAGAGACCACCAACCTTTTCTGATTTGCGTCACTGTTGATAGCACAGAGTAAACAACTTTTTGATTGGCTATCTTCTAAATTTAAAAAAGGAGGAGGAACGTATTTAGTGGGCCCTTGATCACCATTCCAGTACAGCATAAAGTGACAACACTGTGCTACAAAGCCAGATGGGCTTCAGATTGGAAACAGGTAGAAATCAAAACCACAAATGACACCCCCTTTGAACAGGAGACACGTAGGAGATGCTGAGAGCTGACGGCTGGCAAGAACCGGGAAGAGGGTGCGATCACCGGGCAGGCGGTCGGAACAGTGGACCCCCGGGTGGGAGGTGGGGGAGATGGAGAAGAGACGCGCAGAGAGGAAGTTGGGGTGCGGGTGAGGAGGCGGGACAGGCAGAGGGGAGAGGACGCCAGACGCGGCTTCTGACCCAAGGGCGGAGGGGCTCGGGGAAGGCCGGGCGGGAGGAAGCCTACCCCGACCAGCCTGGGCACCCCGGGCTCGAGGAGGGGCAGGGCGGGCGGTCATCGCACCCGGAGGGAGGTTGCGGGGGAGCTGGGAACCCAGAGGGCAGCAGCTGCGGAGAGGAGAGGGGACCCCAAGCCCTGTCAGAGGCCGCGGGCGGGGCCGGGAAGGGCAGCGGCGAGGCGGGGGGCACTTACCGGGGTCCCCGCGCACGGCGCCGCTGGGGCTCCCCTCCCGCAGGCCCGGGAAGAGGAAGTCCCGGGCGGCCTGGAGGTCCTGGAAGGAGCAGAACTGGACAACAGAGCAGGCCATGGCTCCCGGGAGCCCCGCCCGGGACCTCACTTCTCCTCTGCCGCCGGCCCCACAACGGCTGCCCAACCGGCGACCAGCGGCCCGAGCCACGCAGGCGCCGGGAAACCGAAGCGGCAGCGGTCAAGCTGGGGGCCGCTGGGGAGCACGGCGCCTGCGCAGCCGGGCCGGGGCGAGAGGGGCCCGTGTCACGTCACCAGCCGCTAACCCTGGGTGCAGCTTAGACGTGGACGCTCAGGGCGGAGTTTAGCCCAGTTCTGCGCCTACACCTGTAATGAACCCTTGTATTCGTGCTGGTTCTTAGCCAGGGATGATCTAATGGGACGTGCTCCGCGCCGGCCTTTGCGTCCTATAACCAATCTTATTGACGTCCTGCTGTTGGCAGGATCCTGCTATTTCAGGGAATGATCCCTGTTACACCAGCTGCAGGCCAGGGGGGGACGGTGTCCTGCAAAGATCGGAGTTTGGAAGGATTCATTCCTCTTCCGCAAGTCAGCCCTGTCAGGGCCAGCTTTCAGCGATCCTGTAAATTCCCTTAGGGGTAGGCCCGCTAATATAGTTACACTGTTATACGCAGGAAATAAAAGACATGAAAAACTTGTTCCCGTGGAGCTGAAATTCTCGTGGCTGAAACAGGTAGCAGGCAATTACTCAAGTATTTAGGTGAAATTGTGCGAGTGCTAGGAAATAAATACAAAGTGCTAGGACAGAACATACTAGCGGACCTGACCTGGTTTATTGTTTGTTTGGTTTCATTTGGTGGGTGTGGAGGGTTTAGGACCGGAACTGATTTTGTTGTAAAAGTCTAGAGATTGGGATCTCATTTAAGGCCACTTTATAAACACAGTGTCTAGGATGGGCCCTGGCATATACATAGAGCTTAGTAGATATTTGCTGAAGTAATAAATGGAATAGAATGTGTACATAGAGTAAATACTATAACCAGCATCTATTACAAAGCAGTTTATACCTTTACAGTACTTTCTGTGCATTGTCCAATTAATCACAATCCCATTTTGAGAGCGTGAGCCTTATGTCAGTTTTTTTTAATGAAGAAATTTACCTGTGTCACTGAGAAAGTTCATTTAAGTTATTTTTCTTAAAAGTAAAAACTAAACGAGAAATCATTTTATGTTAGCAGAAAGCACCATAGACACATGCCTGCCAGAGGATATCTGAAGTTGTGAGCGGCAGGCAGGCACTTGCCTCCGGAGCTCCGCTGCTGAGGTTCCCGCGGAGTGTGGGCAGGCTGTGTCAGTGACCATCACCGACCACACAGTCACAGGGAAGCACGTTGCCAAAAATGTGGAGGCTTTACATTACCCAGCGCAGATTGTGTCTCTCCGAGGTAGGGCTCAGGAGCTAGGAGAAGTGCTGGGACCACTGTCCTCACAGGAGGCGTTTCATAACGTCGTCCGTGATCCATGACTGTGAGGTGGGGCTCTGATGACTGCTCAGAGAGGGCTGCTTCCTGAGCACGACTAGCAGCGGGTCCTTGCCTCACTTTAACAGCAGCCTGAAGCTCACAGCATTGAGATACAGGATGGGCAGCAAAGGGTGAGAGGAAGAGCAAGGGACTGGGAGTCCGGAGACCTGAGGTCTGTCTCAGTGAGGCTGCTAACACGTCACATGAATGGGCAATTCATGTCGCCTTCCTGGGCCTTAGTTTCTTGATCTATAAAATCTAAGGGATATGCAGGCTGTGGTAAGAAACTGGGTGGGAACCTCTGGGGGTTGGGGATGCTCAAAGGGAGTGATCTAGTTAGGTGGAAATGACAGGCCTGGTGGAAGCAGTAAAGGAGAGCGTGCTGAGCATCTCTATAAGGGAAGAAGAGGGCAGAGAAAAGGGGGTGGGGGAGGGCCACTGAAGCCTTGTCTCATTCTGAATTGCTGTGTGAGCTGAAGCAAGGGCTACACAAAACTAGTTCACCAGTTTTCATTCAAGAGCCCTCCATGGAGGATAACAACTAACTACACTGAAGGTGCTGCAGTGACCACAGTGAAGAGAGAAGGAGGGGCCCTCCAGGGACTTGCTACCTGACTGGCAAGCAGGCAAACACAGATCACCCCGACAACAAGCAGGCGCGGTGATGATGCCTTGGGTGACATGGGTTCTCATAAAGGACTGTGAGAGAAACCAGGGAGAGATTCATTTTGATTGCTAGGCTTGTCCTGGGGAAAAGGAGTAGGGGGGAAAGAGGTCTGAAAGTCAACGAACACATTAGTTCCAGATTATAGAGAGCCTCAAAGTCTAAATAATATGATCTGAATTTTATTCTGTGTTCAAGGTAGAGCTAACTGAAGCCTCTTTTTTAGAAGAGCTAGGACATGATGGGGTAGTAGTATGTGGCATGACTTACTGCAGAGACACCTCAAAATATCATAATATTGCAAATGAAAAGTAATGACAATGGAAAGGCAGTGCCACTCTGGACACCAAATCAAGGGACTGGTATACGACTAGATGTGGATGGTGGGCAGGGAGGATCATACCCAAGATGACATTCAGGGGTTCTGTCTAAAGAACTGGAGAGGTGGCAATGCCATGTCAGCAACCAAGATAGAAAACACAAAAGTGGAATGGACTTGCAGACAAACAGAGATAGGAGGAAGTCAGTGTTGGGATTCTAAATTCTGAAGTGCTTATGGAAGAACTAGGTGTTTAAAAAATTGCTCTTTATAAACAGAAAGTAGAAATATGAGGCTAGAGGGGCCAGAGCTAGAACCTACCTAAGGAAGCCATTCACAGAAGTTACATCAAAGGGCAGGGATAAAAGTGCCATTGGACCCTATGTGGGGAAGAGGACTGGGCCTGGGAAAAAGGCAGGGGACTGTTTTTAGGGGCAGATAAAGTAAGATGCTCTGGTAAAGGAGATTGAAAAGAAGCAGAGAAATAAACCATACACACTAGGATTATGTCACAGAGGCCAATGAGGGAGAGAAAATTTCATGAACAGGTCAATCTATTGTGTAGATTTCAGTAAAGAATTTAAGGGGAGTGACAGCTGAGAAGAGGTGATTATAGTTAGAGGTAGGAAGTCACAATGATTATACAGTTTATGGAACAGCGAAACTCTGTGTCCTTGGCAGCAAATTTGTGAGCTTTTTTCAGAAGTAGGAATCTTTTTCTTTAACACTGGCTAAAGAAGAAACTTTTAGACAGGGAAAGAAGCATTTTCTTTTTTGCTGGAATTTGCTAATTATGAAAAGAGCCAACTTCACTAAATATTAAGTGTTCATTGCTTTTTTGAAGACAAGAAAATATATTCATAGTCTTAGTATTTTTCAATATTTATATTAGGCCCAACTCTACTTTAGAATGGCACAAGAAAACAAGATATTAGCTCAGTTAACTAAAACATGTAAGTGTTATACTGCTTTTAAGTCTCCATCTTTGTGTGTGTATGTTGATAACCAGATGTAATTGACGTATAACATTATATTTAGTTTCAGTGTACCCAAAAATGATTCACTGTTTATAGATATTGCAAATGATCGTCTCAGTAAGTCTTGTTAACACCCTTCACCATACACAGTTATAGTTTTTCTTCTTGTGATGAGAACTTTTGACATCTATTCTCTTAGCAATATAAGAATTTGCCAGATGGTATTATGAACTGCAGTCACCATACTGTGCATTACATCCCCATGACAGACTGACTTTATAACTGGAAGTTAAACCTTTGATCCTCTTCACCCGTTTCAACCATGGCCCCACTGTCCACCTCTGGAAACCACCAATCTGTTTAAAACCCTGTTTAAAACAATGAGAACTGACATTTGTGGAAGATGTTACTAGTTGCTTATTATCTGTACCTGCTTCTTTTTTGACCAAAAGAAGCCCTATATTACTGGGGCAGCTACATGCATGGATTTTTAAAAACCCATATTTCCCAACCTCTTTCTACTCTGAGTGTGTCCATGACAGTTCTTCCAATGAGACGGAGCACTAATTGTTGGAATTTTTGGAAGGGATTTCCAGAACATTGACGTAAAAGAGGGCTAGCCTGCTAAGAACAACCCTTTTGGTCTTTCCTTCCCTTTTCTGTGTCCTTCATAGAATTTGACATTATGGCCATGGTGCCAGAATCCTTTTTAGATGTTGAAGTGACTTGAACTCTGGCAGAGCAAGGAGATAGGAGCTTGGGTCTCCTCTGCTTCATGGAAATGCCATGGCAAGCTCAGACTGCCACACCTGAGCTCCCTTTATTGAAAAAATAAATCTTTACATATTTCAGCTACTGTTACTTTGAGTTTTCTATTATTGTAGCTGAACCTACTCCTGACACAACAGAATCTAAGTAACCAGGAGAACCTTTCACGAAGGGAGTTTGGTATGTTCCTTGTGTCTTGTTCAAATAAAAAACATTTTCATTCCCCTGATAATGTTTTTCTCATGCTCAGTGCAAAAGACATTAATTAGACCAAGTACCTGGACATATTTAGTTGTTTAAATGCTTCTGGTTCCATTTGCATATAAAAATATACCCCAGGTGGCCAAATATTTCTAGTTTGTTATTTTAGGCACATCTGAAATTGATCCTTAAAAGGTCCTATGAAATAAAGGAATCTCCCTAGGGTTATTTAGTAGCTGAGTGATGGGTTCCAACCATCAGTTTTCATAACGGAAAATCAAGTGCAGGTTAGGAGAGGGGGAAACTGTTGGAAGGAGTGGTATTTATACCTGGGACCCCAAATCCAAAAGGCCTTTGGGATTTTTGGGGATTGGTGAATGAAGATAGCTGAGGCTGATGTGTTTTTTGTCTTCACTGTCGTTTCCTCACTCTGGACCCCACTTTCCTGAAAGCTCACCCAAACCCTAGCTTTCTGGAGCCTTTCTTCTCTTCGATCACTTTATTTCTGGGTGGTTTATTAGCTTCGTGTCATCTTCCTGTCCTCCTCCCCTCCCTTCCTCAAAGTCAATCTTAATCCACACTCCTTTCTTTGCGTCAATAGTATTAGTCTTCTGTCAGTGGGTTACTTAATAATGGAAAGACTAAAAAATGTTTTTTCTCCCTTGCTCACCAGCCAGGCATCAAGTGCTATTGATTTACATTCCAAAATGCCTCTCAGATTTGTCCCCTTTTTACTGTCCTCATTGCCATTTCCTTGATCCACACCCTCACGACCACTTGCTATTTATATAGCCCGCTGGTTCTTGTTGCTTCTGATTCTGGTCTCTTCCCACCTCTACCATCGTGCACACAGCTTCCAGGGTTGGCTCTCTGGGGCATACGCCTAATCATGTGACTTAAATCTTCCAATAACACTTAATTTTCTTTAATTTGTTCAGTCGTCTAAGAACTATCTTCTAGGTGCCCACTAGGTGCTGTGAAGGGCTGGAGGCCATATGAACACAAATATAGATAAAACCCCGTACTGGCGGAGGCAGTAGGTTACCAAGACCCAAACATGTACAAATATTACAAGGGCACAGGGCAGGGGCAAATACCACAGACTTGAAATCCAGAAAAGACTTTCTGGAGGTAGTATCTGAGCTAAGACTTCAAAGCAGAATGGATTTTAGCAGGCTGA